GCCTACGCGTCACAACGCCTGGACAACGAACCATAGGCCGATGAGTGCCGACCAATCAGAAACCGTGCGACCTAGACAGAAGCTGTACGACACCAAGAATACGAGCGCGCGATTGGCAGATGCTCGGATGACCAATGAACTTGTTTTTAAATACTATTTAAACACCATGATTTCTTCCGATAAACGAACGACGATTCGTGTGTCTCCGAGGCGTTCGTGATTCCAACCTAATACGTAATTCGTAATCCGTAATCTGTGGTTACTTCAACCATTGCAGCATGTTCACTCTTGAAGACTCACAGCTCCATTAACTTCCGACTTCAACTGACTCGCCAGATGCTTCTGTTGAGGATGATATAAGTTGTGTACACACACACATACACACAGGATCAGTGACAGGAATAAACCCATCCCTCGGAGACACATTTATCCCTAGGTATTTTTTAGGAATTCTCACACGGAAGCAACTTCTCACGTATAAGAGAGTCATTGATCAATTGCAAGGTAGACGCGGATTTATTAGTGCACATGACCTGAATATGTAGAATCGTGGATAGTAGTTCTGTGTTATACATATCATCCTCACATGTCTCACTCAGTCAACTATACGGATTGCATAGATATATTCAGGCTGTGAAAAGATGAGACCCAAATGAGAAATGATGCAACATGTCCAGTGCTTCCGAGCTTTTCAGTTCACGCTTAATTTGCTATATACACGACGAATTGTCATTTGAAAATATAACAACCTATGGGAAGAAGCTGAGTAACAAAGGGAGTAGCTGCGGGTGACAGGTTGTTGTCATATGGAAAGAATGTATTTGTCAGTTTGGGAATCGCACAGACAGATCGAAATCGGAAGAAGATTAGTCAAAGAAAACACAACGAACAGATTTTTGTGAATCAACTAAATATTTGCAAATAAAATGTTTCCGATTTGACAGAGAGAGAGAGAGAGTTCTTCTCATTTGGTTTTCACTTCAGTTAGCTTATTCATGCTACTGATGTGACTCAACCAGGTCAAAACAGTTCACGTTCCGATTGCCCCATATACGACAGAGGATCATCATGAACCAAATAGTGATTAGATGTTGTCACTAGTGCAGTTTATTACCGAAGATTTCATACGTCATTCGTCAATACTAACTACAGTGTGATTGCTCCGATCGTTTACCATCGTCTTGCCCCTATCACCTGTGGCCTGAAACAAGTAAATTCCCTCTGACCCTATTTGGGATCGGCGTGGATCATTGTCTTGTTGTCACGTCCAGTCCATTTATTTGTTGATGGCACGCCTGCTCTGTACAATCGAAGTTCTCAATGGGCCTGCCCAAGACTCGTGGCTGTAAAGTGTGTGGTTCCTCGCTCGAGTTAGCTGGACCAGTACCCGATCCCTTGTTGAGATTGAACTATCCGACCGATCGAAAAATGAGCAAAAAGCCCGTAATCAGACGGTCTCGTTTGGGGTTGAGGGACTCCAAGTGCCACAGAACGTGGAAAATTATGAGCCTGATTACATCTGTGCAATCCTCACAGTTTATTGAGTGGGATGTGTAGTGGTAACAATAATTCATACGCTGTGCAAAGATACAACCCGAATGATAAATGATGTAACAAAAATGAAAAAAAATATACGACAAGCCTCAGTGACAATGGGAGAAGCTGTAGGTGACATGTTGTTCACATTGCCTTTGTGGATATAACGCAATAGTCAATGAGTTTAAATTTAATCTTGCTATTTTGTGAAATTCTGTGAATTCTTTCATTGTATTCTAATACCATTGTTAAGCATCTTGTCAAGTGAGTTTTTCAATACCATAAATATGTAGATAGTTGCATTTGGCTTAAAGGAATTCATGTTATTCGAGAGCCTAGACTGAACCAAAAGTAGGTAGACAATTGCATTTGCTTCAAAAGGTAATCGGTAGTACTCGAGGGAAATTCTGCCTCAATGGAAATTAACACGCTAGGCCATTGAACACACCCATGATTCACTCCGATCTATCATCACGTGATTCGCTTCCTTACCCGGCCGAGGTTAATTACCGCCGGTCAATGACGAAACATTCTTGGATGGTAGTGAGGGGACGAACAGTCAAGCACTAACCCACCGAAACTTTCATCCTCTCTCGGTAACTCAATCAAGAAGTACATTTGTTTGCATACGGAGAAATCAGTTCTTTCTGGCAGGATGGGGTTTCGATAAACCCGGTCCAACTGCTGACGTTTGACTGCCGAAACACCAATCGTCTAATGGGGTTTCCAATGGAATGTGATTGGTTGGATTCACCTGAAGTTGAAGCGGATTCATTCGAAATAATTATCTCCCCTAATCGAATATTTGGGAAACTGAATTACGTGAGGATTCTGATATATCGCTTACAGAGTGATGTTTTTAAATTGTTTTCAGTACGATTACACTTTATTTACCGCTAGTTGAGTTCAAGTGGTTTGTACTCACAATCTAGCCACGTCAACTTTAATGGCATTCCGATTCGACAGTAACCGCAGAAAATCACACACATTTGTGGTTTGTCCGCCCCAGTTCAGTTAGCAGATTTTCAATCGATGTCCCGCGGTGTTTTGAACCTATTGTAGCGAGAAGGCGAGCTGGCTGGGAAAATGTTTATTGAGCCAATTCGAAAATAACCGGTGTACGCGTTCAATTATATACATTCAGTTCTTAACCGCTCGGCGGGATGATTCATGCCTCTTTCTGTTGGTCAATCCCTGTTGGTCTTGGTCCTCACTTGGCACGTGAGTTGCTTGTTCTTCCGCGTGCCGTTCCGGCTGGTTTGACCCGATCGTAGAACAAGATACATTGATCGACAGCTCCGACGTAGTGACATTCGGTGTATATCTTTCGGCTAGCTGCGGATTGTCTGTCGGGTTGTAATTGTCGATTCGTTCGTTTCGGGTGGTAGTTAACATTGTCTCTCAAAGTACTTCCCGCCGCTACGTCTGCGCGTCTGGTTGGATGGGTCCCATTCTTGACTTGTTCGCTAGCCGGGACCTTCTTTGTACCACCTTCCATCACACTTTGACCTAAAGAAAGCGGGTCTCGGGAGGGTACAGCTGTATGCTACCGAGCGCGTGCCCAGGTCGCGGATAGGAAAACGACAGTCAACTCACGGCTAACCGTGAACAAGGTGGATTTCGGCCCTCTGAATAAGCGGTCGCGGACGATCAGCGATAGCGCTCCAGGATGTGGTGGGTTTACCCCNACTCCGCACAAAAACACCACACATATCTGCGGGCAGTGCTGTGACGTGGCGACATGGCCATCGCCCCTTGTCGAAATCTACTGTTCGGCAAGGTTTTCCAGAAGAGGCGAATGAACCAAATACTGGTCACCAGTTCATCTGGAACATCGCTGCTGCCTTGCAGTCCGCGCTTGGTTGCGCAAAGGCTAGAGTGCATCCTTGAAAAAGGCCTACTCTGGACCGGGCGACCGAATAGTACAACAACCCACAACGTCAAAACTGATGAATCCTTCAATTTTCATGTACATTCAGTCTACCATTTCCGCACCTACAGATAAACACCCTACATCGTACACACACACACTCATGTCTCCCTAGCTCTCTACCATCCCACATCCACCTCCTTAACCCACCCGCCTTCTCGGGAGCTTCAGACGATTGTGCAAACACCGGTGCCTCAGATGGAAACTCTGCGACTGTTCCCTCATGTCCTACCTCGACTACCGTCCAAGTTTCACCGAAGCCACCACCAGCTGAAGCCGTTCTTCGCCCTCGATTCCCATTCAAACTAGCCACATTTAATGTGAGTACTCTGACGCGTATAGGACAACAGGCCGGTTTAATTCGTACACCCGAAACCCTAGCCATCGATGTGTATAGTATTCAAGAGACTTTCAGTCAAGACTCCAGCTCCATTATCCGATTGACGTCCCCATCAAACCCATCAGTGAAGTTTCACTTACGCATCTCTGGGGACCCTGAGGCTGCGGCTTTCGGTCTTACTGGTGTTGGTGTGGCTCTCACTGAGAAAACTGAAGCCGCGCTCCTGGACTGGTTCCCAGTAGACAGTAGATTGTGCACAAAGAAACTTGGAGGTGTGTGCAAAGTAAACAGCCGTCGCTCCGATAGACGAAACCTGTTTGTCGTGTCGGACTGCAGCCCAGATTTAGTCAAGGATGAATTTTATCATAACCTACAAGACATCTTACGTAAAGCGAGTCGGGCTGATATCGTGATTTTAGCAGGAGATATGAATGCTAGAGTAGGCCGACTGACTTCGAGTGAGGCTCATCTGGGTGGTCCTTTCGGACTAGATTCCTGTCGTTCGGAAAATGGGGAACGGTCGTTGGCTCTTTGTTCCGACTACTGCCTATTCCTCGCCAGTATGAACTTCAGACGCTCCAACTACCAGTACGCCATCTGGCGTCCACCCTCCCCGGTTCAGAGACGGATGCAGATCGACCACATCGCTATAAGCCACATATGGCGCGGTTGTATACAAGACTGCCGATCGTACTGGAACACTCCCCTCGAATACGACTACGCATTAGTTTGCACCAAGCTTTCCATGTGCTTCGGTGGGCGTTCCAAACGCACGACACAACGGCGGTTAGACTGTGATATGTTGTCTCGACCAGTACATCTAACTGTCTTTCAGAATGCGTTAGCTAAAAAACTAGAACCAACCCAATCGGTGACCGTAACCAGCACTTGTCACTTATCAAGAATGCTCTGTATTCTGCTAACTTAGTTAGTTGGGATCTTACATACCGTGCAGCGATACCCTGGATTTCTTCGGAATCTCTGCGCCTTCTCGACGCACGTTGGTCACTTCCAGCCGGCAGCGAGTATATCGTAACACGGCTACACGTGAACTTAACGTAAGCCTACACAGAGATCGCGAGGTCTGGTGGTCTCAATGCGCATCAGAAATGGAACGTG